ACACGGCTATTAGTCATAAACCAGATCCTTTGAAAACACTGAATTTTGTTTTATAAAATTTTTATTGTTTTTATTCTTCTTCCAATTTGCTGCAGAGGTTTGATAATACTGGAACTACAATTTGAGCCAAATTGGTTAGATTACATATGGATTTCAACCTTGCTGAAGTATTTGCTTATCTATCACAAGAATGAACTAAACAGGAGTGAAGTAATTGAGTCACATTCCTCCCCAACTGTTGAAACTCAGCTCACATAAATATCCATAAAGCTTGTTTTAAATAAAAAGTCCATTTATACACAAACACCTAAAGAAAAGACATGCTCAGAAAACACATGTACATTTCTTACACAAACACTAAGGCCTTTCTTTGCTTAGTTATTTTATATGAAATCAAATTCCTGGACATTTCTGGAAAATTACCATCTCCAGAAAAATCAGAAACACCCAGGGACTGAATGAACCAATCAAAAAAGGGAAAAAAACAAAACCAGCAGCGGCGGCATCATCATCATCATCATCATCATCATCATCATCATCATCATCATCATCATTATATCATTAAACCCCTATATACAAAGCAAGAACGATTGGTCCCAAAAAGTTTAGTTTGGGTTCATTCCAAGAACATTTATTTCTTCCATTTATAGATGTACTGAGTCTAGATGTGTTGCAACATCTCACCACTAGGAAGTAAACTGTGACTGTATGTGTGGCTTAGAGGAGGATGAAAGGAAAAAAAAATCTAGAAACTGGCTAATTGTCAAGGTATCTTGTCCAATCACCATAAGATTTGATGTTCCTGGAAACAAAGCAATCTCTGTGCAATCTTAATCCATTGCTTTAACTTCTTTCCCCTGATTTATTGTATTTGCATGTTACCAGTCTCTATCCCTATTACATCCTGGCCAAAAACATAGTGAGACATTGTACTGAGGCAGAACCAGGTTTGAAGCACAGTGTTGTGACAAAACCATCCCTTTCTTGTTTTTTTGCAAACTACAAAGGAATGTATTGAATGAGTAGCAGGACACCATCAAGACCTCATCTAGGACACCAAGCTGCAATTTAAAGCTTTAAAAGAGGACTGAGTAATTGAGACAATAATCTTCTTGCTACCACCACCCACCAAGAGAAATAGCACAAGGGAAGCAGACTAAGTTATCTTTAAGTTATAACTGCTGATAATGTATGTTAGTTTAAAAACCAAGAAACAATAATTTAAAAATCTTGAACTCTCCAGTTCTTTGAGGGCTTCAGCTATCCAAGGTCTTCTCAGGATTTTCCCCTGGAACTGGTCTAATGGACCAGTGAATTTTCTGCAAAAAAATTCATTCTGTACAAACATTTATTACTTTTAGGCTAATCAGTTTTTAACTTGCATACTTTGTGTGGTCTAAATTCAGACACTGAAAAAAAAAAACCATTGTTATTGCAAAGCTGAAATCCTGAACAGAAATTTCTGCTATATTTATGTTGACAATATTAATAAAAATGCTTGTAACATCACTGTGCTTATCAGTGAGTATAACCAGCCTTTCATAATGAA